TTTCAATAACCGGCTATCAGTCAGCCACTTTTCTGCCCTCTGTCTCAATACTCCTCTGATATCGTGAGGAGTGTATACCTTTAAATCTCCACCAAAAGTAACCTTTACAGCTTCTTCCACTAAGAGTGCAGTAGCCACTATAGCCTGCAGACAGGTGGGCCAACCTCTGCTGACTGGATCTAGGATTTTTGAATAATACCCTACAGGTTTCTTATGCTCAGCCCACTTCTGAGTTAATACCCCATAAGCTGTTCCATTCTCTATATTCACAAATAGATAAAAGGGTTTTCTGATATCTGGAAGGCTAAGTACGGGAGAATTCATTAAGTCTTCCTTTAATGCCACTAACTTACCCTCATCTTCATCAGTCCACTTTACTAATTTTTCTTTAGCCAATTTTTCGTATAAAAATTTTACCTTACTACTGTAGTTCTCTATCCATTGCCTGCAATATCCCAAAAGTCCTAACATCTGTCTGATCTGTTGTTTACTCTTAGGTGCAGGCATGGATAATATTCCTTTTACTCTTTCAGGATCTAATCCCTTACATCCTCTACTCAGCCAATGTCTTAGGTACTTCACTTTCTCTTCTGTGAATTGTAATTTGGACTTAGACACTTTAAGGCCTTTGCTACCTAGAAAATTCAGAAGTCTGATACTTTCCTCCCTTACAGACTCTGCATCTTTCCCTGCTATCAGCAGGTCATCAACATATTGTACTAATACTGTCCCTTCACTGGGTTTGAAGGACTCTAACAGTTGTTCCAAAGCCTGTCCAAACAGATTTGGTGACTCCGTAAACCCTTGGGGTAGGACTGTCCACCTTAACTGCTGCTTCCTGTAGGTGTCGGGGTCTTCCCATTCAAAGGCGAAATAGTTTCTACTCTCCTCCTTAAGAGGACAAGTCCAGAAGGCGTCTTTCAGATCTATTACACTATACCATTGATGTTCTGAGGACACTTGGCTCAATAGGGTGTATGGGTTAGCAACCACTGGGAATCTTGTCACTGTTCTTTTGTTCACTTCTCTTAAATCCTGCACTAACCTATAAGTTCCGTCTGGCTTTTTAACTGGTAAAATAGGCGTATTGTGAGGGGACATACAAGGTTCTAGTAACCCTTTTGCCAATAATCTTTCTATAGTAGGTTTAAGGCCCACTCTCCCTTCATTTGAGATCGGGTACTGTTTTACCCTGATGGGTCTATCTGGATCTTTTATAGATATGTCAAATGGCTCAATATCTAACTTTCCCACAGTATCAGGAGTATGCCACACTTCGGGGTTAATTTTAGTTTCATCTTCCGCCGTAAGGGCATAAATTTTTACTCTCAGTTGTTGCTCCGAGACTTCTAGGTTAATTCCCAATTCGACCATTAAATCTCTCCCTAATAGATTATACTCTGCTTCTGGAACTAACAAAAATGTACCCGAGGCAAATTTATTAGAAGCCTCTATTTCAACGTTCTTAATTATAGGTACTTTAAAAGGCTCCCCTTTTGCTCCAATTACCTGAACTTTGTCGGATGAGATTACACACCCTTGAGGTATTCGTTGTACAGTTGATCTTTCTGCTCCAGAGTCCACAAGGAACTCAATAACTTGTTGCTGAGGACCCACTTTTAATTTTATCAAGGGCTCTGTATTCTTTGGGGTCCCCAGCAGATAAGAGCCCCTGACCCCCCTAATCTTCCAAAAAGACTTGCTCATCCTTTTGCTTCTTTTTACAATTTCTTTGAAGGTGTCCTTTTTGACCACAATAATAACAGTCAAGTTCCCTAAAATTTACTTTCTTATTCCTTTTTGGCTGTGACTGATCATTAAACTTAAAGGACTCCTTTCTTTCTGGCTCCCTACTACTGTGCTGTTCTCCCTTAATAGCTGCTACCAGAACCTTGGTTTGCTTCCTCTGCATATCCTCTTTTCTCCTCTGCTTTTCTTCATCTCTTACCTCATCCCTCCTAACATAAACTTCTTGTGCTTCCCTTAATAACAAATCTAAACCTTTTGTTTGCCAGTCTCTGTTCTTTTCTAGCTTTTTCCTAATATCCTCCCATGATCCCTGTACAAATCTAAGCTTGAGTACAGCCTGTCCCATAGCATCATCCTCAGGGTCCATTCCTGAATACAATTGGAAACTCTTTCGCAATCTCTCTAACCAATCTGTAGGTGACTCTTCCTTTTTCTGATATTCTTTGAATGCCCTGTCTATATTCTGTCCTCTAGGGACAGACTCCCTTATTCCTTGGACTATTATACTTCTCAAGTCGTCCATTAAGGCCCTGTCTTCAGCCCTCTGATTATTCCAATTAGGTTTCTCAAGGGGCCACTTAGTCTCAGCAGCCGGACCTTGCTGATGCCTTCTGTCCCAATTTCTCATGCCAGCCGCTCTAATCATTCCCCTTTCCTCTACTGTAAACAAGATGCCTAAGATAGCCTGCATCTCGTCCCAAGTATAGGTATTAGGTCCCAAGAATTGGTCGAACCTCTCTGAAACCCCTATGGGGTCTTCTAGCAAATTCCCCATTTCCTTCTTAAAAGCCCGGACATCTCCGGAATTAAGGGGTACCGATACAAATCCTATACCCCCTTGTCTTCCCATTAACGCTGTCTCACGAAGGGGATATAGCTGTGACTGCAGAGGGGAGTGTTCAATTTCTCTATGAGTCGTTGTCATGTCAGTAGTTAAGAACGACTCACTAGCCTGTTTGGCTGATAAAGGTGTGGAGGTGGACAACAAAATGGCGGACTCCCGCCCTTGCGCAGACAAAATGGCGGACTCCCGCCCTTGCTCAGACAAAATGGCGGTCTCCCTCCCCGTTGGACACAAAATGGTGGGTTCCCGCCTTTGAGCAGGCAAAATGGCGGATTCCCGCCCTTCTGATGGCAGAGTTAAAATTTCCCGCCCTTGTGTGAGTGAAATGGCGGATTCCCGCCCTTGTTCTGGTAAAATGGCGGGCTCTGACACTGTTGGAGCACTGGGTATCACTGTACTAGCTCCACTATATGGGGGAATATAAGGTGGAGGTGAACTCCGAAATTCAGAATCTCTAGTAGAGTCCACTAACTTCCCCATTTCTTTTAGAGGAAACAGCCGGGTAGGTGTACTAGCTCCCAGCCAAATAACGGCATATTGGCTTTCCTCCAAACAATATGGTCTTTTATCATTAACATAGAAATTCAAGATCTCACAAATCCAACTTTCTAAAGTGCCGTAAATCGGCCAATAGATATTATTTCCTATTTTCTTACCTCCCCACACTTCAATACAATAATAAATCATCTTAGTTCTCGACTTCCCGAGAGCATGTGGGTTACTATTCCAACCCCTCAACAATACTCCTAATGGGCTGTTTGCTGGAATGCCCTGCAGCCTAGCCTCAAAGCTGCTTCTTTCACATCCTTTCTCCTCCGGAGGATCTATTTTCGTCTTACGCACAACTCCACTTCCCTTTTCGGTAGACAAGTCCCTAACACGGTTCCTTTCACTCTGGGAGCCGCAGCTGCCTAGTACAGACTGTCCTTTCTCCCGAGGGTACTTCTTCGCCACATAAATTTTACTCCCTAGTCCTCTCCCTTTCAGGGGACCACCAGACCTCAGGAGCTGTTCCTCATCAGAGGACCTAACTGGCTGCTCTACCGTACAGCCACCCATGGGTGGGAAAGCCTTGCTCTTTCCCGAACCCATCTTCTGGGGTGCCTTCTTTCACACACTCACTCAAACCACAAACGCTTCCCTCTGGTCGTGGTCTGCTCCCTCGCGGACTACAGAAACCGCACTACTGAGAGGTCCACAATCGCTTTGTTCTTAAAGAACGTCTCAAGCAGGCACACCCCAGGACCCCCTCCCAACCGCCAAGGGGTACGCTATACTCACCTCTCCGTGGGCGAGTCTTCGCTCTTCCGGCAGCGCTACTCAGAGCACTGGAGCAGACCTTCCCCAACTGGACAACCTACAGTCGCCTCGCCTTTGATCGACTGCTGCTCTCAAACAGAGCACACCACAAATCCTAGCTACCCTTGAGCTAGACGTTGTCCAGACCCGCATGCAGAGATTATGGAGACCTGCCGGAACCCACTTCCTTTTGCTTGTTTGCCTTAAAAAACTGGTCGGTATGGAGAAGCTGAATAATAGAATCTCCTAGGGCCGTCCAAAATGGGACGGGGGCGCCCTCCCCAGAGAGTGTTTCTATCAGTCAGGGGGGTCTCCATCCAGTCACGGCACAAATTGATATTGATAATGAGGCTAAAATTTCGGTTTGCAAGGTAATAAAAGGTTTATTAATGCTAACAAGCAAAAGCGACCAGCCGGGCGACCGGGGGAAACCCCTTGCTCCACCACAGTCCACAAAATGGGGAACCGAAACAGCAACAATTATACCCTTTGTTGACACCACCCCCCAAAGTCATGTCAATAGTCCATTGGTGGGGGTTTCGCGGGCTGCTCCCTGCTTGGTTCCTCTTTCGCAGGCAGATCTGGGGTTGGCTCCTCCGTTCGCGGGCTTCTGCCGTTGCTGAGGGGCTTCCACCAATGATTTTAAAGTCATTAGTCCCTATGAGGCCGTGGTCCTGGAATTTTCCATCGGGAGATGTCATCTAATCATAGAACTCCTCGTGGCTTGCCCTCCATATTAGTTCCTATTAATATGCCTATAACAAACAGCTTCAAAAACACCAAATCACTCTGCGTTGTGTTAACAAACTTGTGGTTAGGGATTTCATAATCAGTCTACTCATGACTCTTAACAATGTGATTAGTAAAATACAGCAACTTTATTAACCCTTTTGAGTAGCAAATTTCCTGGGTTTACTTATAACAATTGGACCCCATATCAAATGAGTATTGACAAATATGAAGAAGTTTGTTTTGAGTTAGTAATGTAAGGGGTCTTTTATATATATGGTGCATTACAATGGGGGGATTCAGGGCTTTGTCAGACTGTCTATAAAAATTAAAAAAATACATGTTTGTAAGATTTTAGAAGAAAAGGTACAGTTTCTCTTCTCTGCATGTGGCAATTTGCTGAATAATGCATCATTTTGTCAACTCTTATATAGCAATCGAGAAATGCCCTACAGTGCTCCCTGCACACAGGAGACAAGAATGCAGATCGTTATGGAAACAGGCTTGAAACTTGCTTGAAATAAAAATCTCCGTTCTATACTTGTGGCTTTGAAGGCCTGGGCTGTCTTTCTTTTCCTTCTGGAGTAGCTGCGATTCATCCTGTTCGATTGGAGTGAATTCATCCCGTTTCCGAGGCCAAAGGGAGGAGCGAGCGGGCGGCCATGTTGTGCGGGGGGCGGGGAGGAAGGAGCTGAGATGGCGGCGGCTCCCTCAGACAGACGGCACAAGATGACCGGGGAGCAGCGGCAGCTCCCGCACGGCTCCCGGGCGCGCTCCCCGCCGCTCGCTCTGGGGACACCCGGCCGGCGCCCCGGGTGCCGCGCTCGAGGGCCGAGTCGGGCCCAGCACTCTGAGGGCTCCGGGGCTGCGGAGGGTGGCGAGCGGGGCTGCCGAGAGCGGCTGGGACGGGCGGGCAGCAATGGCGCCGGGACTGCGAGCGCTGCCCGCTCCGCTCCCTCGCCCGGCGGGCGCGGGGCCGCCCTTGGCCGCGGGAAGGGCAAGCATCAGAGCAGCGCCCCGTCCTCGGGGCCCCCGCTGCCGGCCAGCGGGCTGCTCTTCGCCAGGTGAGTGCTGGAGTCTCCGCGCTCCTCGTTGTCCTTTGTCCTTGGGAGGGAAAACAAAATGTCCTCGGAGCTGGGAGAGGAAGGGGGCGCTGCCTCTGCCGGCCCCCCCTCCCACCCCTCGCCGCTCGCTGAGGGGACCCGCGGGAACTCTCGGGGACCCCCGGCCGTGTCCTGCCCATGGGGGGCGAGGGGGACCGGCGGGACCGGGGGAGCCCCGGTGCCCCTCGGCGGCTGCGGCGCTGCCGTCCCGGCCCTGCAGCACCCGCGGGGTACGCACGGCCCGGCCCCGATGCAGCACCGAGGGGGCAGCGGTGGGTTTTGGGTCCCCGGTGCGGCCCTGGGCACAGGGGGGGCTGCAGAGCGGCTCCCCCAGCGCGGCGGGCGAGGGGGGCATCTGCAAACCAGCCTGGAACCGCAGTGTAGAAACTTGGAAGCTTGAAAAAAACAAAGCTCGGTCATGCCACGTCTGCAGTTGAAGGTTGGTAAATACTATGGTTGTGATTTAGACGACTCTACGGGAAGAAAAAGTAGTTACTTAAATATGAGTTATGGGATAAGGAAACGGATGGGTTTGTGTGTTACGTGGAAAGCTTTTAAAAACGTTTCTTGGGTGTCAGGTTTGTTTTTAGTGTTCAGTTTATGCGTTTTTCAGAGACCTCACAGTCATTTCTCTTTATGGAGCATTTTTTATCTTCTTTTCAGTGCCTAATAATTTTAGAAGTTGTAGAACACCTTTTGCAAGACTTTCTAAAAATGCAAGTTTAAATGGCATGCCTGACGTTTGTTATGTGTTAGCTGGCATTCAGCAATTACCAATGTAAGGGCAAAATTGTAATTCTGAGTGTATGAAAAGTCACTGTGGTAGAGCACGAGGTAAATATTAAGAATTTTAGTTTTAGTTGGAGGTTGTGTTTAGCCATATTTGTTGGATTTCTATGGTGTACACTTGAGCAAGGTTATAAAACTCCATGCAGGTTTTAAACATTGCAGTTGGAGGTAAATCTACATTTTTTGGTACTTCCTCTGCGAATGTGAATCTGTCATTGCAACAATATAAGTTTGCCCTTTTTTGGAAACGGAAATACAGGTTTTAGCAACCGCTGGACTTCTCCACCTTTATGCACAATGTTCCGTGTCTTTATTTTAGATTTGGATTATGGTGGTTTTCTAACCCAGCAACAGTTCTGCAGTATAGAACAGGTTCTGGCATACACACTGTGCCCTAAAGAAAGTTCTGGCTTTAGGTGGGTGTCTGCTGGATTTCTCTTTTCTTAAAGATGTTATGGGATTTTTTTTTTCGATAGCTTTGAGTGGTTTCTTTTAACAACTGAAAATAAAATAGCAAGTAATTGTCTCAAAAAATTAATTCCTCTTAATTTGTAATGTGTTTTGTTTAACAGTTCTGCTTTTTTATATTCAAGGTGTAGGAATTGGAATTTATATTTGGATACCTTTTAATTTAGCAAGGAATGTTTCTTAAAATTGTGTCTTTACCCACTGATTCCAGACTTTTTCTTAAGTGTGAAGTAGTGGTGATGATAAATATAACTGCTGTAAAATAAAATAACGTTTTTACCTTCACAAAAGGCGAGAAAAGTTGGCTGGAGGTAGTGCAAATATAGTGTTCCTTTTGTTAAAGACCCTGGTTTGGGATCTGATGAAAGGTTAAAGAAGCTGAAAGCTTTAAAACTGTATTCTAAAGGGCAAAAAGATGCATTTTTTGGGAAGATCAAGCAAGGTAGGACTTAAAATTCAGAGAAGCTGATGACAGAAGCCATTTTGAAATAACTTTGCTGTCCCTAAAGGTTTTATTTAATTTTGCATAGCCTGGTTCTAAAGACTTTAATGTGAAAAAAAAGCACAAGGAGTGAGGGGTATTGGGTGATAAGTTACTCAATAAAAAATGGTTAAATTTGCATTTGATCTCTAAGTCTTTCAAAATTAAAGTAATGGAAGACAGAAGAGCAGATTGCAGTTAGTCATGAGAAACACAGGTCGTGTGTGTTGTGTGTCAGTCACTGTCATCTCCAGTGTGTTTTATTTCAGCCAAGAATGTCCTTTTATTTTTAGAGTTGAGTTGTAAAGATACAGTTATTGCTCTCATAAGTTTTCTTGACTTAATAATTACCTAAAGATCAATAAATTTCAGGCATGTGACTTGTTCTGCTTTTCTAAAGCAAAATGTTGAAAATTTCCATTTTTTTTTTTTTTTTTCAGGTAGAATACCATGAACAATACCTTATTTTCTGAGTGGCTTCAGAGGAATCATTCATGAGTTATTTTTTTCAGGTAGGAGTGGCTATAACTTGTGGTAGTATGTTCATTTCCTTGTTATTGTTTTATCTTGAAATTTGCCTTTTTGCTACTGTGCAGATGGGAAGAAAAAAAATCTGATTTTTTATGTGGAGGGAGGATACATTTTGTAAAGTATCTGGACTTTTAGAAAGCTTTTTTTTTTTTTGCAGATGCAGGTAGACTGTCTTCAAATAATGTCATGTTTCTGTGCTACTTCTGTATAAATTTGAGTTTACCCAGGCTATTTGTTAAGGGGCTTGTTATTTTTATCATCTGTGTATATAGATCCATTTGTCGTGACGAGGGAAGAGAGTGACGCTCAATATGAGAATCAACAAGCTTCGTTTATTGATCACTGCTAACAGCTTAATATATGTTTTATAATTAGCTCATACATATTGCAAAAGCTAAGCTCATTATTGGCTCTGCTTAAATGTTGATCTCACCTCTTACTCCCTTCCTTTGTTGACACAGGTGGCTCTCAGTTGCTTTTGTTTTGCTAATCACAGTGTCCTGTTTACCAGCCAGCTAACACGGTACAAGGGCACTGTAACCTCGCTATCTCAGATGTTCCCACGGCCTAGGCAAGCCATGTTCTATAGCCAATTCCCTACATCCATATGCCTTGTATTTGGGGAAAAGGGCAGTATTTTCATATAAATCCATTTCATTCAATGTCCCATTTCACCAGTGAGAACCTGCATTAAACTTTGATTGTATTTTGTACTTAATGAGTTTGTAGCATTAACGGTTGGGGATATTGTAGAACTCACATTTGCCAACAGGAACAGCAGTGACAGAAGACTTCAGGTGTTTGTAGAGGAGATTTTTGGGGCCTGTTTCTTGGTTTTGGGAACACAAAGGCTGATGCTTGGCAAGGATAGAATATCGTTATTGTAGTGTAGGTCACATTTTTATGACTTGAAAGAGCACCTTCTGTGTTTTCAGCAAGTTTGTCAGTCAAGAACATTAGGACTGCAGGTGAGATCTGTCTGTGCCTTGTTTTCAGACAAACCTGGTTTGTTTTTTCTTTTTTTTTTTTCTTTAAAGTCTCTCACTAGATATTGTTCTTCCAAAGATTCAGATGACTGGTTGGGTAAAAGTCCTTGAGCAAAATTGTGTACTGTTTGTGCCAGGTATGTTATACTGTGTTGTGGCTTTTTGTTTATGTCTTTTTTTTTTAACTTACGCTGGAAAAAATTTTTTTCAAAATAAGCCTTAAACATTTAAGGTGCAGTGTTTTTCCTTGTTGAATTTATTTTCTTTCAAGCTCAGTGCATTTGAAAACTGTTAGTAAGTGCTGACTGCAGCAATGTTTGTGTCTCCTGCACCTTTGAAGATTTCTGTGGTCACTCACATACAACTTTAACAACCTGCAGTGACCGTGGTGACACGTAGTAAAGCCAGGCTGTGCTCTGAGAATTGCCATCTCCTGAGGATATTGTCTAACCACACTTCAGAAGTGGTTTTCCTTAGTTCAAGGTATTCATTCATTAGCTAGGGACACTCATAAGCTTTTCCTTTCCAATCAGTTGTTTGTACAATAAACTTCTCTTTTTGGTGTAAATTTGACTCTAAAGCCCAAAGCGTTACAAGGTATCTTGCTCTCCTCCTTGCAGTACAAACAAATCAGCTTTCTGATGCTTATAATTTGTTTTTATGTAGGGAATTGGCTATAGAACACGGCTTGCCTAGGCCGTGGGAACATCTGAGATAGGGAGGTTACAGTGCCCTTGTACCGTGTTAGCTGGCTGGTAAACAGGACACTGTGATTAGCAAAACAAAAGCAACTGAGAGCCACCTGTGTCAACAAAGGAAGGGAGTAAGAGGTGAGATCAACATTTAAGCAGAACCAATAATGAGCTTAGCTTTTGCAATATGTATGAGCTAATTATAAAACATATATTAAGCTGTTAGCAGTGATCAATAAACGAAGCTTGTTGATTCTCATATTGAGCGTCACTCTCTTCCCTCGTCACGACAAATGGTGCCCAAAGCAAGGGACGATAAACAAGGATCCTGCTGAATTTTGCACAGATCCCCCGGTCCCCGAAGCTTGAACAGGGACTAAGTTGAATCTGCAGTCCCCGAAACCTGAACAGGGGGTAAGTTAAATCTGTACTCCCTGAAGCCACGGTCTGATGCAGTAGCCGGTCGGTCTTGCAGCAGCACAAGAGGCAAAAGAGCTGGACTCCGTGCCCCGGGTGACCTTAAAGGAGGGCCCGGCCAATGACACCGCCGACGTCTTGTAAAAGGCTGCAACAGCGCACTGAAGATTTATAGGTATGGAAAGACAAGCGGTGTTGATGGAAGGGTATGGACAGATTGCTCCAGGATCAATATGATCAGGCAAATGTCGGATTTATTAGGAGAAAGACAGATTATATAGTGCTCATGACGCTCAGCTTCTTGTTCACACAACATTGGCTACACAAGGAAAACATGCTCTGCTGTCCACTGCTAATTGGACCACAACAGGTGGTCATAGGAGATGAGAAAACTTTATTCACCTGCCAAAAACTCCTCCCTGGCATCTTGGCACAAGGCCATATTAGTGGCGCAGCATTTTTCACTATCTGCACCCAGCCATGCCAGGGGAGAAATCACAGAAATGCAACAGAAACTGTTCACACAATTTCTGTGCCACGACCAAGCGGTGCTTTTATTACTCCAGTGCTTTTTAGAAAAGCGGGGACTTAAGGGTATAGATTTGAAAAAAGAATTACCAAAATTGCTTGCGACGGGGGTTGCTAAAAGTTGTTTTGTGGACCCTAATACAGTTTTTGATGAAAGAGAATGGAGACGTTATGAGGTTAAGTTGTGGGAGGTTGCCGCGGAGACGGAGCTCGGTGGAGAAGCTGCCAGGCCAACCAGACAAGACGCCTGGACAGGTGAGCCACCGAGAACAAGAGGGATCTAATGTTGCATTTATATGGAAGTCTATCTTGCTTAAAAAAGGGAGAGAAATTAGACAAACTGGCTTTGCGGCAGATGCTGCTTTCATGTAAGGACCAGGGATATGAAGCGAACACTGTAACTGCCTTTACTATCTCTACTTGGAAAGAACTTAGTGATAAGCTCTTTACTGCTGCCTATAAGGGAGAAAAAGTTGCTGCTTCCCTCCTTACAACTTGGCGATTGTTATCTGGAACAGTAAAAGACATTAAAGCACAGTCTGAGGACATTAGAATGCTACTAGATACCATCATACAGAGAAATCGTGCAAAAAGGGAGTCGAGCGGAATTGAAGGGAGCCGGAGCGGGGCCGGGGACAACCGAGTGGCCCCACCAACATGAACGCGGTGCTAGCGTCTCGGCAGTGCATATCCAGGACAATTGGAGACGACGGCTGCTGTGTGAAAGTACTGCTGATGGACCAGAGATGAACTTTACGAACACTATGACTGAGTTCCACCTTAAGACATTTCCAGCTTTTCATCTGAACTGTGCTGCGGAACTGCGCTGCGCATTTGTGGCTGTGTTTTTACAGTAATAGGTGTTAAGCATGCAGTGTGCTCGTGGCATTTTCAAATGTTTTCTCCAAAAACAGAAAGGGAGACTGACGAAAAATCCCTTGAAGTAAGATTAGAAATAACGCAATATCCGTGCTTAGCTTTTTATATACTGCAGAAAGCTGTTAAGAATTTCCTATAGTTTGCCATTTTGTTTCTCTTACATGAAATTTGGCTGTTTTCCCCCTGGGGCAGGGTGCAGGTAGAAGATTTGGAGACGGAACGATGAGACAGAAGGGGATATAGTCTTGCCCCCTGCAAAAGTAGTTTTATTGCCTTTATGACAGAATATCATTGCTCTATGAGGAGTTGAAGATTTCCAAGATAATATTCTGTTCTTTTTTGCTGTATTTGTCTTTTGCATGGAGAGTTATGCAGGATTTGCAGATTGCTGATGGCGGCTATGCCATAAATTTCCTTTGAATTATGAAACTGGTAAGAAGTGCACAGCCAATGACTACTTGAAAATGTGTGTATGAGTGAAAAGTGAGGTGGCCACCTGAATGTTGTGTGAAAGAGAAAAGCTACATGAATGTGTGACTGTGTAAACTTACAAATACTTTCTGCCGGTGCCAAGATTTTAGAGATGTGTAACATGATTCTGTTGAACCATATTAAATCCTTATTCTGAATGGTATATGAATTCTTCAAATTCCTACCATGAGTGATGAGGTTTTAGTTATTTCTAGACTAGCCCTGTCTGGCTAGCTGTTTGATCTGAACTGAGGTTAAATAAGAGGTTCTTACATAAATTTGGTGTTCTATTTCTGCCTTGTTTCAGAAATTTATGAAAGTTAAGTCTCAGGTGGAGTTTTTCCACTGCTGTTGTTCCTTAGCTGTGCCAGCTGCGCAGGAGACCACTAGTTTTAAAGCGAGTAAAAACCATAAGCCAGCAAACATTGGTGCAGACTGCAAGGTTGGCAGAGCCCGAGGCAGGGTGCGCCACTGTGCATCCAGGTGCCCGGGAACCATTCTTACAATTCGTGGAAAAGCTGCAAGACGCTGTAGAGAAACAAGTTTTGTGACAGTTACAGAAGTTGCTAGTTACATAACTAGCTAGAGATAATGCAGGCTTGTGCCGGGGTGAGGTCCTTAGACCATCAAATAATTGCATTTGCATCTGCTATGGCAGTAGTGAGGGTCAGGAGTTGTCGATGTTGCTGCCTTGCTTGTTCAGCTCGTTGCAGGGGGGCCTTTAGACTGTCAAGGCCATCCTGTGTGCTTTCTCAAAAAACATCTGCAGTGTTGTGGATAGTGTGTCTTCAGGCCTCCTGGCTGGAGGCCAGAGCAGACCAGTTGTGTTGATCAGTGTGACCAGAGCTGAAGTGTTGTTTTAAAGAGTCCTTATATATTGTCTTCAAAACCCCTCACATGCAACAGCTGGTAGCAATATTCATTGTAAAACGGCTAGTCTCTCCTCCTTAAAACATGCCCTACCCATTGCAGCTGTGTTCTCAGCAAAATAGCCTCACTAATTG